CTGACCTGAGGTGGAACAACAACATTGAATCCATAGCTACATCTACCGCAAGGAAAGTTGGTTCTCTGTGTCGAGCCAGAAGGATTTTCTCCTCTGAATCCATCCTTCAAATGTACAAATCTACAATGCAAGGAATACTGTTGTCATATATGGTCTGGTGCCCCCGTTGTTCATCTCGAAGTTCTCGACAAAATCCAAAGGCGGATATGCAATGTGATCGGTCCTGACTTGGTGTCTCGACTCCAGTCACTTTCTCACCAACGTAATTGCCTTTGTTTTTTCTATATTTTCATGGCATCTGCCCTGACAAGCTATTTTCACTGGTACCCCGATTGCACGAATTTAAGCATGCTATTGAGTTGGCATTTCGGTCCCACCCTTTTACTGTCGAAACAATTATATGTAACCGCTTGTTCTACTTCTACAGCTTCTTCTCTCGCACATCCCGACAATGGAACTCCTTTCCTCTTGCTTGCTTCCCTGATAACTATAATCTTCAAAAATGTAAGTGTAATATCAATCGACATCTTATGATGCATTGATCCCCGTTCTTATTTTATCCTTCTCCGTTTCTTTTTAAATCCTTTCCTCAACCCCGCCACCTATACCCATCTTTTCCATTACTTTCACACACTGTGGCCCCTTGCGTGCTAGTAGCACTCCCGCCTTGTTTGGGATGAAATGCTTAATATATATATATATGTAGAGTCCTGTTGAGAGACATAGGATCTTTCAGCAGACACCATTTTGATTCGAGGCAGCACTACATCCTCTTGATGTAGGCCTCCGTGTTGAATCTGAGGCCCTGTGGGAAGTGATCACTCCAAACACAGCATGCCGTTTCCAAATTTCTGACGGAGTGAATTGTGTCATGGCGCTCTTTTTCTCACAGACAGTACCCAACTGACCCTACTATACTGTGCAGTCAACAAAATCAAAACCAAACAACGCGCATGCGCTAAATTAAAAATATAAAATGGCAACAATTTACCCATCGCCCTCTATGTGTATATGTAGTGCATGTATAGCCATTCGTTAAAGGTAGCCTTTAAAGATGCGATGGAGCGAAACAAATAAACACACCACCCAATTTCTATAATTATATAAATATGATTATAGGAAAAAAAGGAGCATTGTTTGCCGCAGGGTGCTGAATGGGGGCATAGCATTTAAAATAGGCGAAAACAATATGTTTTAACGATGTTTACGCATAATCACTAGAAATATAAATTAAAAGAGGATAACGTAGTTAAGCCAATAAATGTGTTGCGTAATAATGAAGAAAAGCTTTATCCCCTTCTGCTTGCCTCCGGGTTCTTGATAGGCTCCAGAGGCGGATATGCAATATAATTGGCCCTGCTCTGGCATCTCGTCTACAGTCACTTTCTCACAGACGCGCCGTCACCTCTCTCTGTCTTTTTACAAATACTTTCATGGCAATTGCTCCGAGGAGCTGCATTCGCTGATTTCCAGACTTCATGAGTTCAAGCGCCCTACGAGGCTGGCATCCCGCTCTCACCCTTTCAATGTCGAAACTACTAAATGCAGTCGTCTCTTCTACTCCAATAGCTTCATGTCTCGCACCTCTCGCCTGTGGAACTCCCTTTCCTATTCCTTTTTCACTGAGAGCTATAATCTCCAACTATTCAAATGTAATGTCAATCGACATCTCTAGTTGCCTTGTTCTATCCACTATCCTTCTCCTCATCCTTTCTTCTATCCCTCCTATCTGATCTTGCTCCAAATCTTCTGTAACCCCTTGCGTCCTAGTGGCTTCTCGCCTTGCATGGGGTTAAACGCTTATAAAAAAAAATTTAAAACAACAAATACTTATTTTTCAAAATAACCTCATTCTTTGTCAAGGCACTTAATAACTGACAACTTTTCTTTGTCACTATTTACATTATTCTGACCATTGTCCTGATCTTTGTTGCCATATATATCACAACGTTTCCGGCCGTCGTACGCTCCGGCCTTCTTCAGGGGTTAGAATGTCGAACTGAACCCTTTATTTCGCTCGCTTGGTTAGACTGTGCTAGTTTCACGTGCCATGTCTAATGGATGTCAGTTATCAGTTATCTCCTGTTAATTCACGTTTCCAAATTCTCCACTGCCTTAACCAGGTATTGAACTCCCAACTTTTCTTTGTCAATTGAATATTCATTACTGAAAACTATGTCCTTCTCTCTCCCACAATTATAAGTGAAATAGCGGCATAGATTGGACACTGTATCCTTGGATGTCAGCAAGTCTAGAACAACAAATCGAAATTCAATCTCATGGGGTAGGTAGCGGGAAAACATTCCTCAAACTTACCTAAGTTATGGCAAGTCACAGGAAGAAAAGGAATCCGCGGAAAGTCATTGTTGCCTACGTCCTGGAGGCATTTTAGAAATAACTAGAAATAGATAGATAGGAACTCGAAAATCAGCAAGAGGCAAGTGCTTAGATAGATAGATAGATAGATAGATAGATAGATAGATAGATAGATAGAAATAACCTATTTTCAGCAATATAATTATATATAAATTCAGGTGTGTCAAATAGCAGAGTAAATTGGGCTCTTTAAACGCCGATAGTAACTACCTTCAGAAAA